AATTTTATTGTTTTTTTAAAAAACCGCAATTATAACGACTAGAAAATTTTTTTTTATTAGTGGTGTTTTTGTTTTTGTTTTATTAAAAAACATTTTTAAAACATGCGTAAATGTTGATACATCGACTATCTTATAGCCTGACTCGCAACGGAGTGCTGCTACATCGACTGACAAATAGCCTGACTCGCAACGGAGTGCTGCTACATCGACTGACAAATAGCCTGACTCGCAACGGAGTGCTGCTACATCGACTGACAAATAGCCTGACTCGCAAGGGAGTGCTGCTACATCGACTGACAAATACCCTGACTCGCAAGGGAGTGCTGCTACAACGACTGACAAATAGCCTGACTCGCAAGGGAGTGCTGCTACATCGACTGAGGGTTTGGTTTGGGCAGGCAGTCTATCATTTAAAAAAAAAAAAAATTTAATTTTTTAAACTTTTTCTGGTCTGGTTTATTAACGCGCTCTTTAAAACTACAGTTTATGGGAAACTCTTTTTCACTACCATGCAAGAGTATATATATATATATATATATATATATATATATATATATATATATATATATATATATATATATACATGTCTAATCTTATCAAAGATAAGCCAAGATTGCTCAGTTAATATAGCACTAAGAGATGGAGACTGAAATTTTGCAAAACCTAGAGAGTGAAGAAGCTCTTTATTGACCATAACACGTTCAAGTGGATATACTTAAGGTTTTACAGGAAGTGTACTGTACAATGCTTTGGCAATATCTACTTTGTTTGGACAATGCTCATCTGCTAAAGCAAGCACAATTAAGACAGGATCAAGATATCAGCTGCGCCTGCCAAATGATTTTACTGCTGAAGTAGCTGCATGAAGATTTATATCCATGAACTTGAAATTCATTTCAAGTTTATAGATATAAATCTTCATGCAGCTGATAAGTAGCAGCAGTTGCAGATACTGCTCTTAAGAACCACTGAGTATAAAAGATGCTTTCAAACATAGCCATATATCTTTTATATTTTCCTCTGATAAGTTTGAAACGATTTCTAACAGTAAATATATTTTAAGGTAATACAATGCTTTTGCCATGATTCTTGCAAAGTCTTCTTTTTCTGAGGATTCCCTTCTAGATTTATTTTTGCAGATCTCTCAACACCTTATGTCATGTCCCAACCAAAATATATTTTTAGATTCTATTAAAAAGGACTCTCTATCCTTGATTGCTCATAGTGTCAATCTGCTTTTAAGGGATTGCAACTTTTTATATTTCATTAGTAGAATTTCAACTTTTTTCCTAAAACTAATGTTAATTAAACCGTAAAATACATTGTACGCTACAAGTTCTGTGTCCTCCTCTAAAACAAACTTCAGTGAGTTTCATGCAAGAACCATGTTTAAGCGTTGTTAAATCTTATTAAAGCAGCAGATGTTGAAAATTGAGCATGGTTAATACATTTGTACAATAATAATAAACATAATAAACTTGAATGTTCTCAAAACATCTTTGTGCGAAAGAATAAAAAAAATATTCGCGAACACTTAAACCCCGCTAAATTAACGAAGAAACTAATTCTATTAGTTCAAAAAATACGCTGACTTAGCAAAATAAAGTTTTAGAGTATCCTGTTGAAATGTTTTAGAAATTGTCATATTCACGATTTGTTACGTTTTGAGATTTCTAGTTTGCTTGTTTTAAAAGTTTATACTATTTGTTTACAAAAATAAATATTTTAAATATATATTAAATTGTCAAAATTTCAAAAATTTATTATAAATTATAGATTTTATTAGTATATTCTTATTTTTTTATTTAAAAAGTATGTATTCTTTATGTAAATCTAATTATGTGTATCTGTTTTTTATCGTAATGTATCTTTTAAAGCAATTTTTATGATTTAAACAAAGACTTACAAAAATAATTGCGTTTTCAATGAAGTTATAATCGTTATAGTTAATAAAACTAATTATGTAACAAACATATAAGAAGTTTCTGGTTACTAAACACAAACAACGCATTCAAAGTAACTCGCGGATGAACAAGCACCGCGCCTGAGGTCACGACAGAACAAATATATATATAGCAAATAATTAGATATAAAGAAAAGTTTCTATATATTGGTTTACCAACTCTAATTATTTTCGCTTAAGTTGCCATCCTTGAAACTCGTTATACTTTTTTCTGCTTTAAATACTAATTAAAATTAAAAAGCCCACTCACTAAACATCATCGGCCATATTGTGAAGCAGTTTCGCTTCCTCGTCATAAAGTATTTTTAACCTTTTTAGTTAATTTCTATCTTGTTAATTTAATTTCTATAGTAATTCAATGATTTAATTATTTCATTTGTTTATCTTACTAAGAAGAATTGCTTCAAATATGTTAAACTTTTCAAACTACGCGAAACATAAAATAGGTATTGAAAAAATTAACTTTTTTATTTATAAAATAATTTAGCTTAAATAAAACTAAAACTTGCGAACTTTGCTAAATAAAGAGCATTTGTTTCTTTTTTAAACAATCGCAAGTTGTTACTTTATATAAAAAACATCGCTTAATTTTATAAAAAAAATTACAAAAGAGCGATGTTTCGAAAATATTTGTTCTAAACGTAATTTATTTAGCTTTAAGTTTTTTCGTGTCTAAAGATATTTTATTTGCCTAATTTTTTTTTTTTTTTTTTTTTTGTAATTGTTTCTCATCGGTCCAATTAATCTTTTGCGCTTTTTTTTTTTTTGCTTTTTAAAATGTTCTCAAAACGACTAAAAAATCTGGCCAGCTTTTCGTAACTAAATATTATTTACGTGGTCAGCAATCGAGAGCGATCGCTCCCGCTTCCTGACCAAGCCTGGGTGTCTAAAAACATATGTGGTTTAGTGTTTTGATTTTTGAAATAAAATAACTTACTTTTAAACAACTTTTTTTTAAATAAATTGCTTTTAAATGAAATGTTATTTAGAAAATGAGAACCTTATATAAAAAAAAAAAAAATTAAAAAAATTATATATATTAGTCAAAATTAGTTATGAAAAAAACTAAAGACTTAGACCAACAATTCAAAAAGAAAAAACAAAACAAAAAAACAACTTCTTTTTATTATTATAAATAATAATATAAAAATGTAATACCAGTTGAGATAAATTTATAACTTTTACTAATATTAGAATTATATTTAAAAAAGTTTATATTTTTACAAATGTAGTTTTTATAAAAGTATATTTATGAGCTTACAATTTTTACTAACATAAACTTTTTAATATAACTTATTAACATAAACTATTAGTATTATAAAAATAATTTTTTAATATATGTTATTCTTATTTTTAATATATATTATTCTACTGTTCAATTTCTTATTATTCTTAATAATTTTTTATAGTTTACATTTTTCTCTTGTCATTCTAGCTTATGTTGTTTCAAACTATATCTATTAGCCAATAACTTTATTTTCAAAAGAAATTTATCTCCCATTATTTGTCATAAACATTTTATTTGGTGCATAAAGTCTGTAAATGAATATATATATATATACAAATGGGCCTTGATTTCCACAATTTGCTGGTTTGTTAAACAAATCAGGCCTCATTAGTGTGTCAGTAAGTACATCCTAAAAAAGTTTAATCATATTTCTTGAACCCCCTAAATAATTTGACAGCAATATTATAATTCTTCCTAGAATCTTCACAATCTGCAATGTCTTCAACCTGATGCTGTAAATCATGTATAAATGCGGTGTGTGCGGTCAAAATGGGGTAGTGGTGTAGTGATAGAGCCCTCACTTCATTAGCAAGAGGTTCCAAGTTTGATCCCCACCATGTCCCTGGTAGTACCGCGCTCAATTTGTTTTTCCGCGCAGCGGCTTTGTTTGTCAAGGTTCTTGTTTCAGAATTATAGAGTTGAGAGAGGGTTATAAAAAAAAATTAAAAAAATCATTAAAACACGCTGATCAAAGTTTTTTCTGATTCTAATAATACCAATTCAGATCACTTGATTCTTTTTTCAGGTTTTTACTAACTACACACTTCTGAAACAATTTTTCAGGTTTTTATCAACTACAAACTTCTGAAAACACCAGACCTACTTGCTCTTTGTAAGATAAATTTGAATTTGGCGGTCTCATCTAGTGATTTTAGTGCTGATGGTTATCTTCTTTTAATTTGTAATTACTCCAATAGTCACATGCTTGGCCTAGGTATTTACATTTGTAAAAATTTACCCATTTGTCGGGAAACTATGTTTGAATCCACAGATTATTCTTTTATGTGGTTTTGTTTAGCACCACTTCACTCTATCGGCTTTTTCTTTGTTCCATATCGTTCTCCTTTATCTCAAGACTGCACTCTTTTCGATGTTATTTCTGATCATAATGACCTAGCCCATTTCTCTTTATCTTTCAGCCAATATTGTTGTTGTTAGTGACTAACACTCATCACACTAATTGGCTTAGTACTAGTGTCAGTGACTCTGGAGGCATTAACAACTTTTGCCTTTCTCAATCTCTAACTAAAATAGTCAATTTTCCAACTCGCTCTCCAAATAATCCAAATCATTTACCTTCTCTACTCAACTTATGTATTATTTCTGACCCTAGTCTGTGCTCAGTTTCTCTATCTAAACCTTTTATATCTATATATCTCAAATCCACCCTTGCATGAAATATTGTTGTTATATCTGGGGCGGTTCTTTTAAAGATGCCCTTTATTTTGTCTTCCTGATTCATATAATTTGCAATATTTTAAGTTGTCTGTCAATCATTATCTTGCTCTATAAACTTCTTTTCTCTTCCAGTAACTTCCAACTTTAGTAGTGGTTACTTGCAGCCTTTTTTTACAAAATTTTTTTTACAATTTTTTTACAATTTTTTTACAAAAGAATCATACCAAGGACAGAAAAATTATCAAATGTATTTAAATTAATTCATCAATTTTAAATAATTAAAAAATCTATTTTTACTTATTTAAGAATAGTAAGTTAGCAGAGTGTTCTTCTAAAAAGCTTTGCACTTACCTCTCCAGAAAGTTTCTTGTACACCGTGGGGACAATTTTAACAAAGTATTGATACATAAGCGAACCTAAACAATTATTTCACATTTACAATTGTATAAATTAAACAATAATAACTTGGGAATTTAAATAAATAACAAATTAGGATATCTTTTATAACAAAATCATAAAAGTAACAATAGTTAAAAATTTCACAATAAAAAATATCTAAAAACTTTTTAAAATAATAGATTTACTACTTTAAAATATCAATAGAACTACAACTTTAAATTCTGATTGCAAATAAAGATAAATCTAACTTTTTTAAACTTATAACAAACTGATTGCAAATAAAGATAAATCTAACTTTTTTAAACTTATAACAAACTGATTGTAAATAAAGATAAATCTAACTTTTTTAAACTTATAACAAACTGACATTTACAGAAACACTTGACACAACTGGTAATCCAAAACTGGGAACTATTTCAAAACATTTTCACTTGTCTTAGTACTTTTTTTAAGCATAACTTATTCAAGGCAGCTCATAGCATCAGTTTTTCAAAAATTACAATGAAAACCATTTACTTTAATTCAGTGAAATTAAGGTAAAATTTCAAAACACTATCTTCAATAAAAACTGTAACAACAAATTTGGAGCCCCAGAGACTTGTACTAAGTAACAAATAAATATATGTTATTATTTTTTTATTTTGTTTATGCAACACAATGATCGCAACAAGTGACCAACGAAGCCGTCCAGTTTCGTAGACCTGAGAGATGTGATAATAAAAACAGTTAAAAGATGGTGTCATTGAATAAAAAATAAAAATCATAAGAAAATATAAAATGAGTGATAAGACTTTTGTGAATGTAAAACTGTAACAACAAATTTGAAACCCCAGAGACTTGTACTAAGTAACAAATAAATATATATGTTATTTAAAAATAAATAAAAATGTAAAAATAAAATATATGAAATAAAAAAATATATGAAAATGTAAAAGTATTTTAAACAATTAGTAATAAATTTGAAAAAAAAAAAAAATTTTTAATTAAAAGAAATAATTAGTAACAATTTTTTTTCTTAATTATTCACCTCCTTAAAGCTGAGAAGGCCACTACAGTCGAGGAGGCTACTTATGTGGTTACAACCCTCTCTCAACTCTATAACTCCGAAACACGAACCTCGACAAACAAGGCCGCTGTGCGGAGAAACAAGTTGAGCGTGGTACTACCAGGGACATGGTGGGGATTGAACTCGGAACTTCACGCTTATGAGGCGAGCGCTATACCACTACACCACTACCACAATTACTAATAATAAACAATTAGTAATAAATTAAATTAAAAAAAAATTAACTTAGTTGCCTGACTATTTGATTGTCTAAGTTATTTAATTATTATTGTTTAAAATTTTAAATATATTTTAACTATCTCATAAATATTTTAACTATCTCATAAATATTTTAACTTAATATATTTTAACATAAATAATCTCAAAAATTAATGTTTCTTGTATAGCTTTCAATTAAATCAAAAAAATATTTTATTTTTTTATAATCTATTGCATTATTCTCTCTATTCTTCTCTTGCAAATAAAAAATATAAAACATACCAGCTTCAGCGCTGACATTTGTTCCATCTAAAGGATTCTCAACTCCTGGAATTGGTTCCCCAAATGATAATGACCAAATGTTGTGACTAACATTAAACTAAAAAATTAAGTTTTTTTTTCCACAATTTTTACGTATTGATTGATTATTTGAAAAAAAAACGAAAAAAACAAAAAAAAAATGAGAAATAAATTTAAAATGATTTTATTACCTGCTTGGCACCAAATGGCTGAAGATCATGCACTAAAAATAATATTTCAAACTGCTTTTAAATATTGTTTTTTATAGTAATAACAAAATTATTTGTTTATGCAAAAAAAAAAAAGTTAAAAAAACACAAAAAAAGTTATTTATATCATGTTAAATAAAATAACAGCAATATAATAACAATAAAATATCACAGCAATAGTATTAAGTGCATGTCAGTAGTGCTTGTTATGAAAAAGATAACATTTTATTTTAATGTTAAAAAAATCACAACATGGAACTGAAAAAATATAATTTATATACATGATAGGTAAAGTGCCCTTGAAAATGAATTATATTTTTATTCAAATGAAAGTTCTTCATTCTCGAGGGCTTAAAACCTGGTCAATGTCACAAAAATCAAAAAAACTGTTATTTTTGTATTATGAAAGTCAACTTTTTTTTTTTACAAAGAAAATTTATTTTTTGTATTTTTAAACTTATTTGTTTCAATTGTAGAGTTTAACAATTTAATTTTGTGTTAAACTATTTATTTATTGAATTGTTTTATTAGAACTATTGCTTATATTATTGAACAAAATTATCATATTATTGTACAAAATATTTATATGTATTATTATTTTTAATATAAAAGAACGAAAAAATTTATATGCTATTATTTTTGTCTGACAAACATATAGGCTGTCTACCCAAACATTTAGTTAATGCATTGTAGGTTCACACACACACACACACACACACACACACACACACACACACACACACACACACACACAGATATATATATATATATGTATATATATATATATATATATATATATATATATATATATATATATATATATATATA